TCCTCTGACCTCTTATTATCCGCTAAGTCGTCTGAGGATATTTTCAAAAGAAATCCTCTCTGATACGTGTTCCAACAAAGAACTTCTTTCCACAAGCTCGCGTTACCCCACGACGTACAAAACCTACACAGTTTTCTTCGAAATTCCTTGGTACACGTATACAGGATGGTTTTTCTTCATTTTCCTGTCCTATGTTCTCTGTCATCTGGCACGGTTCTGTAAACAAAAGCAAAGACTTGGCTGGCTGGGCTTCACAGAGAGCAGAAGAATAAAGGACACGAAAAGGGTGGTTAGAGCAAGGGAAGAGGAATCTTTTAAAAATAGCTTTCTCCGCAAGAAAAAGCCTCGAGTGGGTTTCTTCTAATTAAACAGAATTTTCTTGGTTAACCACGCCGGCAAGTATCGCCCAGGATTTCCTTTTGTTCCATCGTGTTGGCTCCTATTTACACCAGGCCAACCTCCGTGTTTCATCTATGATCACTAAAATCAGTTGAAATTGTCATCTCCCACGAAAATGTATTCAATGAAAATTATCAAATTTTCTTCATTTGAAGGTTTTAGTCGTTTGAAAGTTTCAAATTGAAAATCTTGAAAAGAAATGTTCACTATTCGAGTAGTCCTAAATCAATAAAACGGTTCGACTGATAACTTGCATCGGGTAGTTATCTTCGAAAGGCTCGCTTCCGGTGTTGAAACTTCAAATTTGCATAAGCTTCCTGTTATCGTTCGTATCTTTTTTGGTTGTTAAAAATTGTACTCGGGGTGTTACTTCCGCGCTGGTAATGAAATCTTTTTTCACAACACGCTCCTTTCTTTTTATCACGCGAATGTTTTTCTAATTGAAGAGGAAAGCGCTTCCCAAGTAATAAGGGCGGAATCTCTAAAACGCGGTTTTCTTACGGTTCCGTATAGAAAAAGCGTCGAGTAGGACTTCCGTAATTAAAGAGAATTTTCCGTGTGACACGGTAAATTAACTTAACGACTTTCGTCATCTGTTACGTTGAAGTTTTAACGATTTCAAATTTCCTTTTTTCGGTATTTACACAATTACCTTCTGTCGTGTACGTTTGACTTTTGGAAAATGAAAAATTGTGTTTAAATCGTCCGAAGGATGTATAATGGAAGAATAATGTAAAACTCGAAATTTGATTGGTCACGTAGTAACCATTTCTTTGCGCGACCGTCCGGTATGCATCCTTTGGAAAATCGCTTTCTATCCTTGTACGAAATTGATTTTTCGACGAATGTGCCGCGGAGAATGCAGTTCTATGTACCATTCGATGCCAGGCAACATCCCCGATAGCTCGAGATCCAGCAAATTCCATGATTTACAATCGAACGACGAATACGATCCGCCTAGAAAGATACGATACGAGATATATCTGACTCAGGAAATTGCTACAGCTGAATTTTCATAGTAACAAGCATATTTCCATATTCTTATTATACCCAGCCAAACGGATTTTGCAAGAAAACCGAACGCTTACAAAATATCATTTCATTGAAAATTTCATTTTACACAATATTCTTTACAAAAGTGTATCTATCAAAGCTCCTTACAGAAGAACGTTGTATTTTCTTTTTAAAACGGTGTATTTAAAAATTTTAAAAATAGAATTTAGTCAGCAAAACACGTTGCTACTCCAGATATAACTGAAGATGGACTAGCCAACGTGTCCATGACTAAACGAATTCCAAAGATAAATTTCCAACTTCTACCAGGCCCCCCGAGTCGTAAAGACTGTAAAATTTATCTTCTGGGTAAACAGCAAATCTTATGGACCCTGAAGAGAAAACTTGGCTCTCCCTTAGCACACGGAACACGTGGACGACAGACGATCGCTTTGAAACACGTGCCACGTGAAAATTCAAAGTATTTTGTAAAAAGGTTGTTCGTTATTTATTTCCTAATTAATCATCTCGTCTCTTCCTTGCTTCTTTTTTTTTGAAGGTTAATTTAGCAATCAACACGTTCTTTCGAATCACCCACTTTCTCGTTGCAGCAATTTTATCACGATACCCGATACCGAGCTCCTCGCCCCTGTTCAACCCTCGGTTTAATTAAGCGACTAATAGCTCATACACGTGAAAGGTGAAAGTGTGTTAGGTGGAGGCTTTTGAAGTCGAAATAGAAAGTTACCAGGGTTATATAAGGAAATCCAAATCGAGATGTGACGTTAATTGGGTGCTCGCTTCTTTCGAACGCTACAGGGTGCTGCATATAATTAGGCCAAGGTATAAATTTATAAAACGTAAGAAAAAAGAAATAGAAAGAAAATTATTCGAAACGGTACTCCATTTTTATTTTTCCAATAAAAAGAAAGGAAAGGGGTCTCGATAGAATGCAAAACTGCGGTATCCCTCAATATCGAGTAACCGAATTTTAAAGAGAAAACCCCGAGGCTTTGTCCTTGCCTGGAATTTTATTCGGGTAGCCTGAATTTGGTGCCCTCAGAGGATCGCTTTGAAGGGTGCTCATTCGAAACGTCGAGTTGCATATAATCCGCTTCTAACGGTTCCAAGGAAGGACCTTGAAACAATGATTTATGCGTATCGCCGTGTGTGCACCCTTTACCGAATCAATCTGCAGCTTCCGTGGCCGGGATCGGTCAGGGCCGACGTTGAGCGTCGCAATTTCACCAACGCCACATCGCGGCACGCCGTTCCGCATATTTATGAGCCAACGACGCTTGAAAAAGCGACGTGTTTTTTTTTTTTTCTCTCCCTCGAAAATTCGACGCTGGCAATATTTCGTCTCATCCGAAATTGGTATCCTATTTATTTTACTAGCTCGTCGTTCCATATAATTTAAAAAATATTTGTTCCCAATTTTCGTCGCCTCTCGTTTCTCTCTGCTTCGTCAAGGCGCCATAATTCTATTTTCTAAACCACGTGTTCTCCCTCGAGAATTCTTTCCCTTCGCTTTAACTCTTTTCTTCTTCTCTCGTTACTTTTCTCCCCGTATGTTTCTTCTATCCCCTCCCCTCGTTCTCCAATTTAACTTTTTCCACCACGTTCTAATTTCTTTCTTCGTCCCTCCCACACGACTCATATTCCTTTTTTTTTTCTCATTTCTTTCGATTTTTCTTCTCTTCTCCTTTCTCCTCTATTTTTCTCTCTATTTTTCTCGGTCGCTTCGTTTTTCTTTCTTTTCACTGGCCGTTCTTTTCACCCCATAAGAATGCGAGGCTGTGCGAAATGGCACGGCTTGCTGGCTGCACACGATTCGCGGAACTGCAGCTGCCGTTCATTAACGTGCGGTTATTAAACTTTTCGTCGCCGGTTTCGGGCCGATTTGCCCCATTCTCTCGCGCTCCTACCTCGTTAAAATTCATTCTTCCAACGCGTACATAGACTTTGCCCGGCTATTTTCCAGTTAATCCCACTCTTTGGATGCTCGCTCCCACCGTTTCGATTCGGAACGATCTGAAATAGCTGGAAAAGCGCGTGATTTCTGTAAAAGCAATGCTGTTTGCTCGGTGTTATTATATTTTATTTTTCCCTCTCTTTATAGACGATGCTGTTGATAGATCGAGTAACGCGGGATCATTGCAAATTAAAAAAAAAGGGCGATAATTAAATTCGTGCAAAGTACTATGTAAGTTTTCGAACTGAAAGAGTGAAACCAGCTTAATTATAAATTTAAAAAGTTGGAAGCTAGTTTCTCGCTCGTAACGCCGCGTTAACGAAGACAGTTGCTTCCTAAGATTAATTAACATCCCTTTCGTCGAAACGAGGTTATAATAACGTGGTGGGCCACGAGTTCTGCTGTGTAAAAAAAAAAAAGTAGAATCGTTACTTTCTTTCCTGTCGTTCGTGGATGACCTCCTTCTGTACATTTAATTATCAGACAAAATTTTGAGTATGAAAATTTTATTTCAATAATACAGGGCACTGATGTGAGAACGAATCTCTCCCTTGCATATAATAAAATCGTCAATGTGCAAAATGTTATTCGTCGTTTATTGGTCGAACAATTTCGATTGATTGCGCGACAAAGTAGCTTTGTAATGAGATAAACATATCATTGTTCCATTGGCATTGATTGTCGAAATCATTGACGCAAATGGAAAAGATTTCAGTAATTGCGGTTGCAAATGTAAGAGACAAACGAACGTTTCCTCCTGTGGAAGGGCAACGAAATTGCTTTAGGTATAATTTTCTCGCCCCCGCACTTCCCTATTAATTAACATGACGATTTAACTGGTGCATACATATACGTTACACCAGATATATATTTAATATTCCCCTCTCATCCCTCAGGCACCCTTAAAACGAGCCACGATCAATTTTCATTTGTTTTCACCGAACCATGTAGCTCGTTTCGCGTTCGATCGAATATTAAAGGGCAAAGGGATCGTTTGAACTGCAGTTATAAATTAGTTACGTTTAAAATAGAAAGGGAGTTTTAATCGCAAAGAATTTAAACAAATACAACGTGCAATTAAACGATCGATTGGGAGAGTGTATAAAAGAAATAAGAGAAAACTGCGACCCATTTAAATCTGTAACTGAAAAAACATTAGTTTTTCCCCTCGTAGCTGGGTCCAATCACGCGGTGCACCGCGCGCTGCTGGCGCGAATGAATTGACCCGTAAATTTCCAACACGCCATCCAGGAAAAAATACGCGTGTTGGTAAAACGTTGGCGAAAATATTGCCATCGAATTCGGAGGATACACAATGGAAATTGATTTTCCCAACAGAAACTCCGATACCGATTGAAAGTCTTTGTTGTTACATTTATTCGTCGAAGCGTGAAAATGAAGGAGCAAAGAAATTGCAGAATTCTTCGATTTTAATACTAATTAGGGATGTGCGGGTACCCGATATTACGGGCTCGGACGGGCTCGTCCGCATCTGCCCGACTTTATCCGACCGAACCCGAAATAGTCGGGCTACCCGACTGCACGCCAGAGCCCGCCCGATATTTTCCGAACCGACCCGACTAGTCGGGTCGCGCATCACTAATACTAATGAAATTTACTTTCTTCGTTACAGAATGAAGTTGTGGTGGAGTTTGGCGTTAGTGGGCATCGCCCTGTTGATGGTGGTCGTCACAACCAGGGCAGAATCCGATCTCTGGGAAGAGGACGACACGGAAGTTCTCGTGAGAACCGTTCGCGGTACCAAAGAAAGAGGTATTTCGCGCTCTTTTTTTTCGAAATCGTATTGCAAGGTGAAATTTCAACTTTCAAGCAAAGGTTCTAAGATAGGGGTATTCAAGAAAAGGGTCGATCGAGCGTGTGGAAGAAAGAAGACGACGGATTCGAAAGCGCGGTATCGCGGATCCATAGCCCTGCTGATCGCACGGATGAAAAGAGCCCCTTTTGTCTCTGTTGGCCAGCTCTTTTCTCATCTTTCGAGCTTCCACTGGCCGTGGCCTACGGCCGAGAACACAATTGAAATATCATCCGACGGTTCGCGCACCGTTTCATTGTCGACTAAGATTATTTGGCCTTAGAAATTTATTCGGGCCAGGATCGAGCTTCCGTGCCACGGACCGGGGAGAGAACTCTTTCTTCCAACTCCTTTCACGCTGGAACAAGTCGCGGAAAGAACGCGGCCGGCCGGCTGCTGCCGTTGAAATTTCAACTTCGAGGATCACGTCGAATTACAACGTCGAGCCAAATCTTTGCCGGCTTACAACTTTCCACTCTGCTGCTTAGGCGTTTCACCCGCCCTCCCTTTTTCTTCACCCCCTTGCCGCTTGTTTCGGAAACTGTAAGAAACTTTAGGTATTCGAACGAAACGCCATATTCGTGGCTGGAATACAAGAATTCGACGATGAATGAATTACCTCTCCCCATCCCCTAAGAAAAAAGAATTTGATAATAATAAAATAACGTTTGAATTCGAGATAGCCAGAAATGATCGAAAATGATGGGCCTTTAATTAAGGGGTCTTCCTCTTCGTTCGGAAATTTCTCTGTCCACTTGATCGGTCGTGCCTTCAATTATCTTCATTGACGTTTCGCATCTGTTGACGCAGCATCCGGCAGCACTTCGTCGTGCAGATACGTGAAGGGTCAATGGTCGGAATGCGACTCGAAAACCAACACACGGTCCCGCACGCTGAACCTCAAAAAGGGCGACAAGTCCTGTGAGCAGACGAAGACTATTCAAAAGAAGTGCAAAAAAGGTACATCCCGTTTGTTTCATTTCTTTTTCTCTGTTTTCGATATCCATCATCCGTTCTCTGGGATTCATTGTTCGAATCTCGGGGAAAAATTGGAAACTTTGAATAGAGTAATTAAGTTGAAATACGTCGCGTGTCCTTTACTAATTAATTCATTCGAGGTTTTTTTTCCAGTAATTAATGCATACGAGAGGATCTTACTAATTATCACAGCGTTATTTCAGTTTTCCTACAAGACGCACGCGGTGTGTCGGCAGTTATATAGGGCAGATAATATAGGACGCACCGGTTGCGTCATCAATTTCTAACATATCGTCAGAGTTTGCTCCACAGGGAGAAAGGTGATTGGATAGAACTTAACTAACTCGACTAATTAACGAGAATCTCAGGAATATCTTAATTATCGAAGAAGGAACACGTCGCGTTCCAATTTATAATCGAAACGTGTCGACAAACGATCGCATTTCTTTGAAATCGTTCGCCAAGAATTACTTCGCGAAGTAGCAAGGAAAAAAATAAACGACGAGAATTGTGGTCGTGATTAAAAACTCGTTAAAGCACCGCCATCAAATGCAGCCTCCTGGCATACACAAACCTCCTGGAGAACTTTTTAATTTAATGGACACCGCTGACCCTGCATATCCCCTCTTTCCATGCGGCGTTTCAATCGAATTAAAAACCGTGATATTCGGAATCTAATCTGCTGACCTAACTCACGAGATATTTTCGATCAATACTTCTAGAACTTTTCTCGTTGAAGGAACTGCAATATTTCTTTGCATCGTTGTAACTTTGATTTATTTTTCGTGCCTGCTGGGGAACACAGCTTGCCGATACGAAAAGGGCACGTGGAGCGGATGCGCGAATCAGCTGATGACGAGAGTGGACAATTTGAAGGTGAACAGTGATGCCTCCTGCGAGAAGACGCGCCGACTTACCAAGAGGTGTAAACCAGAGACCAACACTAAGAAATCTACCAAAGGTATTGCCATTAATTTCTTTCGTTAGCGTTTGAAAGAATTGACCTATGACATCTTGAAGAATTCGAAGACTCTTTCAGTAATAGCATCCGCCCTTTGAAGTAACTTGAGTATACGAAATCGATAACTAACAAGAAAGTTCAATTTTCCTGATAGCAGCTGAAAAGAAGGCAGTTTGTCGTCGATAACCTAACGTAAAAACGAAGGCGAGGTTACTTGAGGTTTTATTGAAAGACGCAACAACCCCTTTTGTCTGAAACCCTGTATACTTTCTGGTTATACTTGAGATTCACACTAGTGCCGCAGCATCTCCTCGCTTCGTCGAGCACACACTTGACGATGGCATTGACAGAGTTAAAGATAGCTTATTGAAACTTCTCGTTGCGGTCACGGACAATAGCGGCAATAAATGTTCCGTACAAATGTTTGAATAGAGACGAGAGCACACGCGTCTAGAAATGGACGTGCTCTGTTCCTCGTAATGACCTTTTTTTCTCTTTGAATAGATATTCTTTTGAATGAACCTTTTTGTTCTAGATCATAAAACATCCTTACATCGTATAAAGTAATTGGAACGCGGCTTTTTTCTTTCAATTTACTCTTTTGAACAATTGCGATCATTCAGTCTTTTACGATTTGAAAAATTATTATCGACGGTCGGTAATTGACAAAATTTGTACGGAACATGCAGATATTATTACATAAATTGACAAATTTTGAATTATTCTAGGTGAACGATCGAACAAGAAATCGGGTAAGCAGTAAGCGAAGAAAATCGTCGATCGATCGCTCCAAATGGTACGCTACGATCTGTTTCGGCAACAGGCTACGAAAAACGCAATCTTATCTTTTTCCACGCGAAACTATATCTTCTTTTTTTTCAATGAATACTGTTTATAGCATGAACAAACGAGAACAACACGAAGATGGAAAAAACGTTCCACAATCCAAAGTACTGGCAGTGATCGTAATTCAAAGAAAAAGCATTTTTAAGTACTTTGTCTAGGAAGTAACAAGTATCGATACGTGTACATCAGGCGCAACGATCTTCAATCCGAATTTTCCATTACTTTCAAATCGTTGGCTGTCGGTACATGTCCGACCGTCGGTAATTTTCAATCGTGAGTATTCAGAATTACCTTCGTTGTATGTGGCCAATATTATTATTAATGGTGATATGCCGATTTAAATAAACGCATAGGTTATCCTTAGCGATTTTTGCCGACGCTGAAATGACCATGTACCAATTTATTGCGTGTGAATATTATAATATGAAAATTATGTTATCGACGCAGTAGCATAGATAAATATTCAATTTCAACCATTGTGTTCCAATTTATCGTTCGTTTCTTTGCATTTATTAGATTGTTGCGTAAGAAGTAATTTGTTAAGATGATAATATTTACGCGGATTATTTTTTTAAAAAACCATGCGGTGTTTATTCGTTTTATCACGCTGTGCTACTGTCTCGATGATCAAACGACGACACAAGCTGTAATAATTATATAGCAATACGCTATGGTAAACGTGTAGTAAACGACTGCCGTTGAGATTCTTCACGAAATATATTCTTGCTAGAATATACATCGTTAAACAAAAACCCATTCACGAGTTTTCCACACGTTACGTATAATTGTATGGATCATAGCGTGCATAGATATCTCGGTTAGATGTAGTTACTCTTTCGAGACAGTAAAGAAATCGAAAGAAGAAACGGAGAAAAGAGCAGATGATCGTACGGTCTCTATGTTTTTAAGGTACACCCGTTAACTTTCCTCGTCTTCCTCTAATTGAAAGAAGTGAAAAACAAAAGGGATGGTATTAACAAGCATCGTTTCAATTCATTCAATTGTTAAGAGTATCTTTTTTCACGCATATTTTTAACGTATGTTTTGCTTCAAAGTGATCCTTGTTCAGTTCGTAATCAACAGTGTTTACACTTAAAACCAGGTACAATATTTGTGACTAGAAATATATCTTCTCGATTGTCGCATAAATAATATACAAGTGTTTGATGTTAACTATGTCTTATACACCCAATGATTTCCAAACTTTTCGGGCGATATAGTGAATGATTTTGCGTTTAACATTGTTTAATCAAATTGTGCTAGTAAAGAAAACATTTTTCTATAATAGATGTATAATCAAAGAGAAAAAAAGCATTTTATAAAGTACATATAAAAATTGAAATTGGAAAGTATTTATGATACGCTTTAGGTATGGGGGATAAAAGGATAAAGAATTAGTTCGAATTGCTGGGTCCTTAAGTTTGGGAATCAGTGTTTCAAGTAATAAGCATGATTTGATAATTACTACCATTTTTCCTATAGTGAAGAGCAAAACTGAAAGAATATGATTGTTCTCCTAGAAAATTATTATCCATTGTACGCGTTAATACTAAATAACAATTTTCTGAGAAATATCGCTTCGTAAGTTTAACTTCGCACTCTTCACTGTGTATTACGATCCGTTTTTCGAAAAAGACATATTCCATTGCATAAAAAAGAAATGTCGGTATATACAAATCATTATATGTGTCTCATAATTATCTCTGAGTGGAAAAAAACTTTAATAATAATAATAACGAAAGCCAAATGAGCATGAAAATCAAATTAACATAATGCAAAAGTCTCAGGCGTCTCGTAGATCCGGTCGGCTAATTAGGTTAATTAGAATTCGTCTCTACGAGACGTAACAGTGAAACTATAGAAATCAAACCCTCTCCCGCCCTCCCTCGAATACAAGATTGTATTTGTTTTTAAGTCTAGATGTATAATCAAAAAATGAAAAAAGCTCGATACATAAAAAAAAAATATGAAATCAGCTGATTCCAGGTATAACATATAAACACGGTGTATCTGTATAAAAAAATGCGTTCAGTGAAAAACATGAATATACGGATCAAATAGTGTTGATCGGTATCAATGATTATAGATTTAGATTACGTATGTACATCATATCACCATTTAATGGATTTAATGAAGAAAAAAAAAAGGAAAAAACGAATCTACCGATAGAGTAAGATAGCATTTATCTACGTTTTATTATTTCTTCTAATTAGCTATCATTAAACGTTTACTAAAGCGTAATTAAATATAACATGCTTGAATTCTTCCTCTCTCTCTCTCTCTCTCTCTCTCTCTCTCTGTGTGGAACTTCATGGAAGTTCTCCATCTTTTTTTTAACGCATCCACTGCGAACGCGGTAGATTTAAGTCAGCTGAAGACGCGTTAATATTATTAATATTAATACTGATTTTACTACATTCGTGCTATATTAATTTTACTAATATAGTATCAATGATACTAATACTAATACTTATATCATAATTAACATTATTATTAATATTAATATTATTTCCAAGGCTCTCAATTCGCAGCGAACGCGTTAAACGCATTGTAACATAGCATAATAACAATAGAAGATACGCTGATAATTAGAAATTAATTACCGCTCCTCGATGCGAGTGAAGTATCACGACGGAGGAAAGTGTTGCTTTATTTCTTCTAAAATTTGACCCATCGCTATACTTGCAACATAATCAAAAGTCTTTCCAAGGGTGTATCGGTCGTTCGATTACGATGTTCAAGTTTCTCGATCATTATATTCGTGTTAATAGTTCACCTTGTTAGCGTGGAATCGAATCAATAGGGAGCAAGGATATTTTGTTCAGCGTCTTTCCAGTTTATATAGCGAATCAAGTTTTACATCAGATCAAAAGCCCGAATATATTAGTTAAGAGCAAAAGTTTATGAAACGATGTTTTTTGACATAAAAAAAAAATAAGTTGAGGTTTTAGTTGCCTAGGCAATCGAATCAAATTTATATTTCCTAAAAATCAAATATCTTCGTAGCTCGTGAGAAACTGTCAGTGATTTATTTACAAACTGACGTTATAACTGGATGCAAAAAAAAAAATTGTATAATGTATCTACTTACTTATTAAATCATTGTGTAACCGTTACACATGTAATAAAAATCCAATGTTGTCAATAAAGACTAAATATTATATACAAGGTGGATCAGTAAGTGTTGGCATCTCAACTGTTTCTAAAATTATTTTAGAAATTGGGAACATTTCATATAAAATACACCTGTATATTTTATGTAAAGACAAGCATTTTTTATTTATAAAGAAAACACATATAAAAAGTGTAAAAGTTCATAGATAAAATTGTCATTTAATACTAAAACATTGGACGGATATAGTCTTTCTTTTAAGTTATACAATGATTAACTTTTTGAGTTTTCTATATTTTATGTCACGATCCGGAAGTTTAATTCTAATTTTATCTGCCAATTCTCGAGACTCGAATTATTAAAATTACATGTACAAATGGACGGAATTGTTAGCGATACTTATACTACATATAAAAGATAACGTATAAAAGATATGTAGCATTAACTTTTTAGACACACAACTATGCTACTGTAAAATAGAAAAATGGTATTACTTTATAGATATTCATCTAAGAAATTCTGATATTAAGTGGTTAAGTATAAATTGTTATACTTAGATAAAATAAGCATGTTCCTACATGCTGAAGTTTTTTGATTTAGTTAAAATTTTCATGTAAAGTGATATGAAAACAATTGGTGATATCTACTTATTTTTACGCCATAGAGACGGAAAGTTTTCGTGAATATGCTTTTTCTTCCCATTCTTGATCCGAGGGTAACGGCGTATGCCGTAATTTACAAATACGCGAACCGTATTTGAGTATAATCATTATAATGCAAACTACAAAAAGGGTCAAACATGTAGTTGCTGGCCAAAATATGTGTAGTCCCATCTCGGCGTAATTTTCTACTTAAAATACTTTCAAAATTTTATAGTTCTACTATTTCTCAACTTTGGCTATATAATATACCAGTTTGTATAACAGTGAGATAAAAGTGATGTTTTTAATTCAATGCTAATACTTTGTAAAATCTCTGTACTTTCTTAGCTGCAAAATATTGAAACTAAATTTCACTTTCACGTTTTTGCATTTCCATATACTCTTGTGTTTGTGGTGCAGCCCTATAAGACTTAGGATTGTGATACTGTAAAACTTCTTGTTTTTCTTGAGACTCAAAAACACGTCCTGGTTCTAATTCACTTAAGTCTAGAGGTGGTGTTTTATGTGGTAATACTGTAAACAGCGGCTGAATCCACCTATTTCCTAACAAAATGAAGAATCATATAAAACAATGGAATCAATTTAAAATCATTAACAAATGAAATCTTTGAAACTTACCAGTATGAGGACTTTGCCAATAGCTTCTGTGTCGTGAACACCAACAAAATCCAATGTTTAGGATACACAGGAATGCAAATATCAGAGAACAGATAGTGACAGTGACATAAAATGGGGTAAAGTCACTATACTCGTGCTTCACAAAGAACGGATTCTTCAGATAATCTTCTCTTTCGTCTAGAACGGACATTTTATAAATTTTAAACTGAGATTCTTCTGAAAAAAAACAAAGATAGTTTTCCCTTCAATGCATAAATTTTCATCGAATTTACTTGTTAATCAGAGTATAGGTTTAGAAATCGACTGAAGAGAATCTTTTTATAATTCATAAAATCAATTTTTAAGAAAAAAGAATCTCGCGTCATTTGTACTTCAAAGAGTGTAGGCGTGGCGTTAATTTGAAATTATGAAATTGTGGTTACCGTCAATCACATGGGTGCGGTGTATTTACCATTGAACTTAGATTCTTTTATACATTAATAACTTTAATGGAAGGCATTACGTCTTTAATAAATTTCAATAAGCTAGGAGATAAGTTTATAAAAAGAGGAGTTTCAGAGACCTCAAATAGGCAGGTGAAATTAGCACGTTAACGAGATACAATACGCACCTTAAAGTTTGCTCCGTTCGCGTATTTTTCTATTGATTATTACTGAAATTTTTTATAATTTAAACTCGTTGCAATTTAAAATTAGTGGTATTAAAGAAACTACGTATACCATACACATTCCAAGCATCACTTTTATGCGTTAGAATCTGTTACATCAAGTTGTATTTGGGCGGGGCGTTCTGTATAGTAGTAGGAGAAATGTATACTTTAAGCATCATTCACATACCTATAGCAAAAAAGTCAAATAATTCTGTTCATGAAATGGCGCGATTAAAGATAGTTTGGAAGGATTAAGGGTATTGAATACTAAAAATTCAATATAAGTAATTTTTTATTCTTATAAAATGAAGGAAAACAAATTAATTACATGATGTAATAAAATTACTAAATTTGATTTCTTGTAGCTACTATGCACATATTTTCCAGAGATACATCGGTAGTGGTATAATAAATTAAATTGCTCTGGAATCCAACACTTTTCAAATACTCTAATCGTCCCCAATTTAATAAAGCTTTTACTTTGCGACCGATATTTTCTCTTTCACTGGAAGTTAATATTCGCGTATTTGTTCTAAAAAAAGATCATGCAGTCTTACATACATTTTAAGATATAAACAAATTAAATATTACTAAAATTACCTTGTATCCCTACAATTATTTGAAGTTTTAGTTATATTACTTAAACCATATCCACAAGTTGCCCAGCTAGCAATGCTGCATAGGATTGTAAATTCGTTTGGAGTAAAACCACATTGTTTTAAATAATTTTTTCCAACATATGACGCATATTCGCATCTATGGTGACAACAGAATGCTATTATTAATCCAGTAACATTACATTTAGGATCATTTTGCATTGCTTGAACCAAACAACTTACAGTTAAATCTGTAAACAATATTTCTAGTAATATTTGAAAGTAATATAGTTGTTACTGTAATAACAGTATATACCTGTAGCTGTACCACACAAATGTTTTGCTATTCCAACCTTACATTCAAATTTCTGTATCTCTGTAATTTCATTTAACTTTAAATCAGCAATGTCAGCACGAATTCTTTTTATCACCAAAGGAGACTGTTCATTCTTTAATTTATTATCACTTTTATGTCTGTGACTAGAGCGATCTATTAGCACTATACAGCTATTTTTTTTATTCTTTATCATTTGCCCCAACCAGTAAGTTAATTTACCCTTCCCTGCTCCAAATTCAATAAAACATGTATTATCTTGTACAAGACCTGCATCTTCTAAGTGAGATAACAATGAAGAATTTTGTAACATATGTTTCTTAATAGTTTTCCCATAAGATTCATCATTTATTTTATCACTGAGTACTTTGTGTGTTCTCACTACCTCAGGAAATTGAGGCAACTTTTCTAAAAATGAAATTAATCAAATAGTTTGACAAAATTAAAACTTAGAATATTATATATAAAGTACCAACCATAAGCAGCTGTCACTTTATCTATGACTGCATTTACTATAAGCTCATTAAGTTCAGAAAGTGGTATATGTTGCGGTTTTTCGCATGTTTTATCAATATTAACTCCCTTTACAATGAAGGAAGGTTGCGCATCCATCAACCTTTTCGCATTGCATACCTTCAAGTGTTTAGACAACTTTGATTCAAAGCATGTACTGGAAATGATCTATAAATTTTATATGCATGAAGGAATGTCTGTAATACATTTTACTAGAAGTACACTTACTGTGTAGAATCAAGTGGACACTTTATTCTTTTATCTACAGATTCATTGTCTTTGGAATTTGTAGATTCCAATGAATATTCTTGATGTTCGCCACAGTATTTGTTTCCTTGTTTTACTGTCATACGGCAATAACGCTTCTTTCTTTTTACAAAATACATGCAATGATTTTCCATAGTTTGATTGCAGAATTTATAGTGATTTATAAAATAATGTAATCACTATGTGTTTATAACCTAGTATATCGAGTAACTTGATCCAATACATATATAGAAACAGTTACTTCCTTTTTTAGTTTTTTCATACGATTTTAATTCATAGTTTTATAGCTATAAACAAAATGTCTATAAAATAGATTATTTATGCAACCTATCATATAATTCGACATCTAAAAATTCATTAAAATTTCTATATTTTTAAAAAAGCCGCCAAAACAAGTAGCGCCATCTATTCTCCGGTGCTCTAACCGAGCTTCCTGATTTCGTTGATAGGGAGCGCACAAATTACTCCTAATTATAGTTCTTTTTATCAACACCAGAGATGCCACCATAGCAAAATTGCTACCTGCTGGCGGGGAAAATACAAATAACTTTGTATTTCTATTAGTATTTACTTTTTGTTTATTGTTATCAATAATTTAAACTTTGTGGTATATATGGAATTCTATTCCTCTATATGGTTATTTTTTCCGGGGCTACCTACGGAAAGGGAAGGCTACAGGGAAATAAACACTACACTACTACAGTTTAATTTATTATAATATATTTAAATATAGTATTAGTTGAAAAATATATACAATGTAATGAATAAAAATTAATAGTATGAATTTCGAAAACAACTGTATCTAAATAATTACTTAATGTCATTTTGCTGTAAGTTATACATAGCAGGGGGCTTCTGAAAAGTAGATTCTGATATAATTTCATAAATAAATTTTGTTTATGATTTCTATAATTAGGCACAAAGTATATAATTAATACAAAAAAAAATTGCATCTTTGTATGTAATGTTTACTTTACAAGATTTCAATATGAATATGGGTACTCATCTGCTTAGCAGAAAGCACCATTTTCTTAGGAACAGCACACTAACAGTTTTTTGTCTTACTCACTGGACCTTGTTATATACAATATTATCCCTATAAATCTATGTACCATCAATGTACACCTATTATTAGGTGGTATAGAAACACAGTCTTAAACTCATTATTTTTTCTTTCAATATATGTACAAGATCTTATTGTAAAATGAAGTTTGACCAGTAATGATAATAAATTTTTGTACTGTAGTAAGTTCATTTACAATTTGAAATATTTATTATGTGAAAAAAGAATTGTCGGTGTTATATATACAATAACAAATCGATGTGTTCCATATAAAATTAGTGCAATGATTAAAAGTAAATTATACAATTTTTGTAATTTACTCGTACAGAAATAGGAAATTTAACAAGAATCTTTAATAATGATACACTGAGAACTGTTATTCGAAGAAGTATATAGTTGCCCCCTGTTTATCTTATATTAAAAAATAAAAAATAAATTATAAATTAATTATAATTAATAATGTGTATATATATATATATCAATTACATACAAATGTTACAGAATCGAATAAGATTCAATAAATATAAATTCTTTTAATCCCTTTTTTTTTAATTTGGTCTGTATATGCTAAAAATGTGAGGAATTTTATCGATCATTATTTCTCATATACTTATTTCCAAAGTTTACTGTATGGCACACTCTCATTTGTCAGAAAACGATTTTTAAATCGTTATACACATTAGTAAGTGACGTGCATATATCTATATACATGCACGTTTAACCAAAATCTTAATTATAATAGAGCTAATCAGGTCTGAGCCTGATTTTACCTTACATTTCTCTACTTCTGTATTATTTACCCAATTTATACATAATATAAATTTCTTTGGTCTTAAGATTTGCTTTGTTTTGTATTCTAAGTTTATATATAAATCATATAATTCTAAAATACTTTGTAAAGTGGTCATAGATTGTTGCAATCACTGGTTAAAAAAAAACTTTTCTCGTGATAACTAACGAATTAACGTATATAATTATAGAAACATTGCACAAAGCAAAATAAGATGTGATTCTTTTTTGCAATTCATTTAATCATTTACAATATAAAATTTAACTAATAATCATTTATAAAACTATATAACAAATACTTGAATATTTCTGATAACATTTGTAGAAAAAAATTTTGACTATTTTTAGCATACTTTTCTAATTCTATTAATGTAAGCAACTAAAATAATAGACAATGATTTGTAAATATCCTGATTACATATTGATCTGATATTCAATGATTAAATACATTTAAGGTGTCCCTAGATAAGCGTTGCTTTAAATAATTTATAAATGATAGAATGCATGAAAAATTTGTTGGTATTAAAAATCATTTTCTGTCATTTCTTTGATTTCCTTTTACAATATCTTTGTTGTACTATCAAATTTTATATAAAAAAAAAGATATTTGTTTCTTATAATATTTTCTATCATTTAACAATTATTTAAAAACGTACTTATCTACAGACACCATCCAATCAGGTATTGAAACAACCTCATGACTATCTACTGTACATTGAAATTTTGTAGCACACAACTTTTCTTTTTTAACGTTAAATTACAGTGTGCATTCATATAAAACATAGCATGCATTTAATACATGTAATACTTTACTGGCAAAATATATATACAATATGTTTCGTATTAAGCTCATAAGCCATTGAAGATTCTACTTTGTTGATCAAATGAACGATGAGTTATTCAACCTTTAACTTGTTCGAAATAATAGTATTTAAATTTATTATTGTTACTATTATTAAAGTATAAAAAATCTTTTTCTCGAGTAACAGCAGATTTAGTTAAGAAAATATTTTGGCGCGTCGTAAGATTTCTCTTGCTCACACAACGACAATCTTATGATTGTTACCATTTGGCAAGAGAACATAATAGACACGCTTCCCCTTATCTCATTGAAACTCTTGCATATTACTATGATATTGGTTATTGAATGAACCATTTGATTGTTCATTTCTTTCAATAACACTTTGCATTTCAACCGTTGATCCACTGTTAGGTTGTCCATTGGTACTATTTAAATTTCCAGAATTAGTAACTATGTTAACATTGTTTGTTGTATTAGATTGTTGCGTCTGTTGCTGCTGTTGTGGTTGTTGTTGTTGCTGCTGCTGCTGCTGTTGCTGTGGTTGATGGCCATTCGCAGCATTCTGGGCAGGATTATTATTATTCCTATTCTTAGGTCTATGCCGAAGCTTGTGAGTGTCGAGACTTTGTTTTACAGAGAATCCCTTGTGACAGATATCACACTTGAATGGTAATGGAACCTGACAATTTACATCATCCGCGATAGCCGACGATGCATGAGCTGCTAAATGCATCGAATAATAATGCTTGACCACAAATGATTTCCCACAAACTTCACAAATATACGGGCCAGATACGCCATGCGTTTTACGATGTTTGTGAAGATTGTCCTTACGAGAGAAGCTTTTACCGCACATTTCACAGTCATGCATCTTTTCGCCTGTATGAGACACAGAGTGTCTAACTAAATGTTCTTTGCGACTAAATGCTTTAGTACATGTAGTACACACATAAGGACGTTCACCGGTATGTAATTTTCTATGCTGGTAAAGATGTTCTTTCCGCTTAAACGGTTTACCACAAACGTCACAACTGAAGGAATTGGTACTAGTTTGTAAATTATCTTCTTTGATAGCACTACCGTCAGATGTTTCACTTAAAAGATTTTGAACAGAGCAACTGTGACTATTCAGTTGACTTATAGAGGAAAAAATTTTACCACAACCCTTACAAGTACTATCCCTATGAGTTTGCGATATAACTTGAGGATTCACTGTGATTAAAGAGGTCGGTTCAGGTCCTGATTTAATTCTCAGAAATTCTGATATCTGCCCGATCGAGTTACGAGACATTGAATCGTCTGATTTGTTATAATCTTTAAATTCCTTTCCCTCCTCTCGAACAGTTTGCGTAACCAAAGGTGTGTCTTTAAATCCCAAATTTAAAAATACTTCTGGCGCGCCTTGTACGGTCGTATAACTTTGTACGTTTTGTACGTTTTGCACTGTACCTTCATCTTTTTGAGTTTCAGATTGTACTTTTTGGATAATTTGCTGATTTTGTTTAGGATTCGAATCGACCTTTAAAACAATGTTATTATTTTGATGTACTACTTGAGTTTGAGATTCTTGCTTTACAGGAAATTCTTGTTGCGAGGAAATCTGTACTTGTTGCTTTTCAATTTGTTGAAGCTGTCTGTGTTGCTTTTCGTACTCTCTTTGCTGTCTTTGTAACTGTTGAATCTGTTGTGTTATTTGTGATTGATTTTGTGGCTGTTGCTGCTGCTGCTGACTAACCTGTGTTTGATTCGGTTGCTGAGATATTTGTCTTTGTGGTTGTATTTGTTGATTTATAGGATTATGATTTTGAATTTGACTTTGCACTTGTTGAATTTGTGAGTTTGGACTTTGTTGATCATTTATTTGATTTTGTGTTTCATTTGATTGTTGAGGCGATACTTGCTGCGAGGTTTGTTGCTGATAACTATAATGTGTTTCCGCAGTTGCTTCTACTACAGCAGCTGCCATACCCCCAGGTTGCATCTAAAACACATAACTGTCATTAATTTATCAAAAAAATAATGAGTACCGCAATGTAACAATATTTTTGTGTTTAACAAACCTGCATAGCACATTTATATTGTTGAACTCTAGCTTGAACTCCACTGATAATTTGAATATTTGAAGTATTTATGTTGCTAACAACAACAGGTTGCTGATGCTGTATTTGTTGATCATTATTAACTAGTTGATTTCCTGCAGAGGATGTTACCTTTTCCATGGACTTTAACATTTCATTGTCAGGTGTTGCAGATCTATCTTTCTCTGTACTCTTTACATAAACCTTACCCTCTTTTAGGAAATCTTCAGAGAATCTTAACGAAGTAAAATATGATTCTAGCATACCTTCTGCATTAACAACAGTTTCTCTAAACTCAATGAAATTTTCCAATTTCTTTACACACTCATGGCAAACAATTTTTGGCAAAGAATCCTCCTCGAGAACCTTGAAATATTTATTAAATTATACATATTATTTATTGATGCAAATCAATTAATACTACATTTCTAAATTGGGCTTATGCTACAAAGGATAGCCTCTGTTTTATAACCAACATTTTTAAAAACCATTTCTAATTAACATACATACAAAATATATAGCCTCACCTGTATCGGTAAACATGTTTGAATCTTTGTTTGAAGTTGCCGTCTACGACCTTCCTCCCGGAAAATGTTCATTTTATTTCCCTCACTGCTAGTACACAATCTGCACAGTTCGTAATAATTCACTCTTCGATATCCAGACATTGTTTTCCCGCGGAAAACTTAATTGCGCGACCTTAAGAAAATCGCGAGTAACTTTCCTTTTATAGAAATATACTCGTAGCAATGATCACTATTGCGCTATCATCGTTGACGATGCTATTTTGCATACAAAATAAGATCCCGCTTGATATCGCATTTCTGAGACTACGTGAATTGTACCCGTGGCCATTTGCAGTTTGTGATTATAGCGACAATGAACGATAACGAAACGCGCTAAAAATTCAAATCTATTTGTAAACTACACAAACACATGCAGGTTTAAAAATATTAAAGGAACTTTAATTACAACGTATGATTATAAATTAATTCATACATGATTTCAGAATTTATATCGCTTACATATAATCAATGACAAGTGGATAAAATTCATTTTTATTAGTATGTCGCTGCTTCAATTTTTAGAACAATCGTTCTTTAGCGATAGAAACTTAAAAAAAGTAATATCAGAAGTTTATTTATACAATTCTTTATTCGAAATATGTTTCATACGAAATAAGAATTCATGTTTTTACAAAGAATATTTTTTATAATAATAATTCGTGGTCTGGGGTCCTATCTATGCTCGGGAAGATATCGAATGAGGAAACGTGGAACATTGAACCGGATAGATGAAAATGTCATCACCAACTGGTGGAGTTTCCTGTGGGGATAGTATCGGGAATAAGTTTGGTGGGTAGTGATTGATTATTTTTATTCTGTGGATTTCATGTCAGTACATGCACGTAGTTAACAAAAATGCGTGAAAACGAAATATGTTGATGTTAAATTATGAGAAAAAATCTATTGATCGTGAGAGAACGTGGTAGGAAATATCACGGTGCGATAGTGCGAGGATCCTAACCTTGTTAAAAATGAAGTCAGGCACCATGGACAAACATAGAGGCTCGACACTTCTGAAATTGGAAGAAAACGAGCAAGTCTTCCAATTAATAGGAAATCGGTGCCAGGTAAGAATTATTCTCACGGTCAACTTTTCCCGCTAATACGGTAATTCTTATTTTACCTGACTGATTTTGACCTAAATTTTGTCGATCGACAGATATAGATAAACACATATTGTCATTTCTATTTTCACATTATTTGCAAATTTTCTTCTGCCAATATTCCAGCTAAGCCTTTGTTTATCTTATCTGTTACTCGTGTAATACCTATATCAATTTTGAATGTTTAACATCGACATATTTAATAACGTAAAATAAAATTCCGAAATTACGAAATGGAATTTAAATGGAAGTATTGATTTAGTACTTTTAAATAATATCGTGAATTATTAAATAGAAAATATTTCACAGCATTGAAAGTGTATGTTTAATGTTAGGTATTAGTCATGGGTGAATCAAATGACATCAGAGGACTCATAAGTATGCAGAAGTCTTCCATTGAATAGTTAAATATTTATGTTAAATAAATTTTTCATGCTTACACTTTGTTGTTTGCACATTCATTGAAAATATAATAATACCTACATAAAGATTTATATTACATTTTTAAAAATTATTTTTTAGTGTCTAGCAGCTGGAGTTATACAGTTGTATCTGACAGAACCACCGTTACATAAAGAATGGATAAAAAAGACTACAGGTATTATAACATTGATAAGGGATAATCCTAGACGTAGTTTCTTCCTTCGTTTATATTGCTTACAAAGGAAAGCAATGTTATGGGAACACGAGGTTTATAATGCAATGGACTATAAAGCACCATTGACATACTTTCATACATTTGAAGCAGAAGATTGCATGGCTGCTTTTAATTTTGCAAGTGAAACTGATGCTGTTACTCTAAGGTAATTTGTGGTAAAAGTTAAGGGAAAGTGCTATTAAGGTATTGTAAAAAATGTGGAGTAACTATAAATTGTTTTTAGGAATATTCTTCTTGGTAAATTGAATGCCAAACGTCAAAGAAGACAACAAAGGAGATCTAAAATAGAAGGAGAAGGTCAACATGGTGCAACATTGCCCTGGAGGAATCAGAGTAACACATCACCCGCTGCGTTTAGCACAGGATCAACTTCTAATTTATTAAACGGAACCCCGGCTACGATTGACGTCAATAGGAGTGCGTCAAGTAGTTCTATATACAAAACTAAAAAGAAAAAGCGGGATAAAGCGAAAAAAAAATTAACAAAAGATGACATAGGTCCTCCATCTAATTTTAGGTGGGGAGTTTATAAAATAATTACAGCACCATTTCTTTAACAACATCAAATAAATTCTCACGTTTATTTTAATGTTTTTAGACATGTTATGGGCTGGAATTCTAATAACAAAGGAATGGATTTAGAGCCGCTTGATTTACATTTAAAAATTTTCCTTGATAAAGTAGGAGTATCAGAGCATCAATTCAGGAATCAAGATACGCGCAATTTTATTTATGATTTTATCGAAAAGAATGGCGGCATGAGTGCCATTCGGGAAGATATTTCTTCGTCTATTTCGAAAGGTAACACACAACAACAGCAGTCACAACAGCAACAACATCAACCATTACAACAACAACAACAACAACAACCTCCAGTTGCACCTCCAAGACAGGAATATCCTCCTCCAGTTCCTGCGAGAACGATACCTGTTGGTATACTTTGTACGACATTATATGTTCCTTGTGAAAAGATGAATCAGCTTAACGAAGCAAATTTTTTTTTTACAGCATCAAACAAGAAGTGCTCCTCCGTTACCTCCAAGCCGGTTAAACGCACCTTCGACACCGCCAAATGCACCGCTTACTGCGCCCCCAGTACATAGAACATTACCATCTCGACCGCCCCCAGTTTCTTTAACTGCGGCACCATCACTGCCACCGCCTCCACCTCCGGCTCCACCAGCTCCAATTCCACCATCCAGAAATAATTCAACCGCACCTGTTCCGCCTCCACCTCCATTGCCTAATTTAATAAATACCAATGAAGGAACTGTGAATACGAGTGCTACCAATAATAATAATCATAGTAATAATAATAATAACGAAGAAAGCGCTGACCCTAGATCAATGCTCATGCAGTCTATAAGAAGTGGCACTACACTTAGAGTTGGTATCAGAACAAAGAATATAGATACTGCCACTGAATTTTATTATTAATATTGTATAAATTTACGTTACAGAAAGTTGATAAACCTGAAACAAAACCAGCACCTGCTGTTGGGGGTCCTAGGAATGCTTTATTGGAACAAATTCGTCAGGGAGTTGAATTAAGGCCTGTTGCGAACGAGGTAAAATCTAAAACGACACCGGCATATCAAGGCGGATTAGCTAGTGCTTTGTCCAGAGCTCTTGCCGAGCGATCAAGTGCAATCCATAGTGAAAGTGATGATTCGACTAGTGAAACCAGCGAAGATGATGACGAATGGGATGATTAATTCAAGTAAGATAAAAATAAATACTGAATTATATGGAAATTAATAAAATGTTTCTAATTAGTATATGATGTACTATTCCAGATGAAATATGCAATTCGAGGAATACAATAATATACCACTGTGATAAATCTGCTATTGATAAACATGTAAACAGAATAGCTACTATAAATGTATAATGTAACGATTTTGAATTTGAATTATCCAAAGAAGAATGAAAATCATATAAATGTTCTGAAAAGGGAAAACCACTTAAACATGTTATCAAAAAGTAAAGCACAATTAAATGGATAGGGCAGGTAAGGGCAGAATAAAAATTTATAATTATCTTGAAAAGAAATTTTTTTAAACAAATTTACTAAAGTAAATAGAATATTATGCAGTATAATAGGTATATAAACGATGATATTTCGTTCCGTATTATTTATTTATGTAAACTGATATTTATCAAGTAAGAAAGCATGTATAGCCTGGTAACGCGTTTTATAAGGAGTATTAAGTGAAAAAATCTTGCATAATTGCATTAACAAATTTTATGTAAGTTTAAACAGCAGCATAATTTGTTTATAATAATCAAAAAACTTGCCCTAATTGGCCCTGCCCAGTATGTGCAACTTGATGTATGCGTAATTTTAAGTTAGTAATGACATTAGTGTGAAACGTAATTCTACGATAAGACAAACATAAACGCAGTATTTCCAAATTAATTGGAATAGATCAAATTGAATAGAGTGAAGAAAAAGTATTAGAAATGTTATTATATTATTTCAGCATAATACTCTATAAAGTTGCAATATTGAATATGGTACATCGAAAAAGTTTTAATTTATAGGAATTTCGCTTAACATTTCAAGAGATATATATACAGGTACCACTGTACAGGTCGACTTATACCAACTGACATTTAAAGGAAAGAACTATCTGTTTCCAATACTCCTTCCTTGAAAATCATTTTAAGTCATCTAAATTACGGCTTTGCATCTAGTCGTTTATGAAGCTAAAGTAGACGTTTTAAGGCATTTTCAAAGTCTTTAAATGACTTCAGAATTAGGTGTGGATAAATTAAAAAAAATAGCTTCTCTTTTAATTTTTTATTCCTTAATTTATTACATTAAGTTCAACATCGTCGGCCTTCGTTATATATACAGGAACCAGGAGAAAAGAAAAGTTGTTTCATAGGATACAGAAAGGAACTAATTATAAGTGAGTTTTCATTGCACGATAACTAATTTAAAACGGCGCATCAAACGATTCTTGAATATCCTATTAAAGTATGTATAAACTACGATGTAGTAAGAATTTTATATTTTCACGTGTGTGATATAGGTATCAAGTTCGCGGAAGTGAAGCGCAAAACAGAAAAATTGTCAGCGGGAATGTATGAAGCACAAGATAGAGTTATGCCACTATGGAGCAATCCTAGTCACACCAGAAAAGAAAGAAACGAAAAGAATGTGTTAATTATTAGTTATTGTATTTTTATTATATTCTATGCAATATTATCTAACTTAAATATACCGATACGAAGGGATCACTTCGACTGATTGAAAATCACACGTTACAGGATTTGTTCAGCTGCTTCAATTTTTAATCAAGCGTAATCAAGAAAGGAGCTATAACTATATTTGTTAACTAGAGTAAAGAGAAAAATAGTGACAAATGTTTTAAAAATAATAAAAAAAAAAAGACTTGTTATAGATGAGCTAATAGTGTATGAGAATAAGACTCGAGAGGATTACAAATTCTACAATTGATTAATACATTAGAAGTATTGTTGTATTTAAGAAAGAGAAAGACCTATAATGGACATGTATTTTTGTCCACTTTCCAGAGGTACATATGGACATGTTACAAATCGTATTAGGTTTGTATTATGACTACCAAATATGAAAAAAACTATGAAAAACATACATCAGTTTACTTTAACGCGCAACTTCCTCTTACCGTATTATCATTTTCTTCTTTTATTAAGTAGATTTACGTATAAATTATAGCGCAAACTTTATGAACTAATACAGAACGAATGTTTCTTCTTCATGATTCATCAGAGAAAAAATGATGTTTCTATAGAAATGAAGGATTTTATAGAATAAAAAGAAATCCGAGTTTGTTGTGTGTAAATAGCTTTAAAGAAAACGTTAAAATAATGTTTATATTATTTATTTAATAGTCAGCTTTCTTATATATACATATGAAAGTTAGATTAAGTAGGTCAGAAACATATTGGTTGTACAAAATGGATCTAACTAAATATTTTTGCTGTGAATACAAATTAAAGTTATACGTGCGTGTAATTTGCGATTAATAATTCAAATGAAATTTCAAATTTCTTACTTGAACTTAATTTGTAACGATAGACACTTTATTTGTGACATTTTTGTAATTGTTAGGTATGCAGAAAAAGGAACATATCAAAATCTTAGGAGCATTTAAATTTGCATTTAATTAAAATACCTCATGAGAGAGAAACTTGAATATTCTGCAACAAACAGAAGATAATGGAAATGGGTCTAGATGAATACAACTACATTATTCTAGTAGAAGACTAACTTCCTTAAAAAAAAAAAAAGAGCTCACAGGTAAATTAGCTTCTCTAACAAATTGTAATCCTTAAAAATTTATACTATCTCATTTTTTTGTAACTAAAATTGTTAAATCTATTAACGACTCCACTAATTAATTCATTAGTTATTAAACTAAGATTAGCAAAAATCAATCGTCTTTATTCTGTAACAAATCAAAAAGTTATAAATAGAAAACCATACTGAATATTTTTGTGTGTTGAAATGGTACCAAATATTCATTGCAAAGATTATTTATTTGTATCTCCAACAGACTTACATTAAATAATATATTTACAGATCTAATGATATTTTAATATAAAATTTCAACAGAATATTCATTATCTTATCAACTATGTATATAAAAGTATAAAAAACTTAACTACATCAGTTTTACGCATATACAAAAGGGCCGTTTTTAAATCGCATTATGCAAGAATAGAGAGCCACTGAATTATTGCCTAATTATTCAAATTATTCACACGCCATTGCCTATTGTTTGTATCAATTGTGGTGAAGTAGAGGGAACAGATATACTAAACGCGGCTATGAATACATTTATAATTGTTATGAGAAAAACCCCAACTACCACGTAATTATTGATTCTTCTTGCATTTAGTGATTTCGACTGTCCTTTTATGTCGAAGCGACCTTTGAAAATCAAACTGACTCCCACAGCAATCTAAAAACAGAAGATTAAAATCATAAAGAAATGAAAGGTACAAAATTCGTTGTAATCAATTTGTATATCATCAATTATCATGATCATTGTTAACAAAGGATATTTGATTCTTTGTGTCAGTAAGAATGATAATCTTACCTGAAGCATAAGACTGATAATTATCAAAGACAAAATGATGAGGAACGTAGGGCTATGCCGTTGATACTCAATTAGATACCTCAATTGATTCGCATTGGCAGTAATTAAGGCAACGTCCATCATGCCTTGCGCGACCGTTTTTTTAGCGGCATAAGTGTTTGATTGTTTATACGCTTGAGACTTTTTGTCCGTCGTGTCGACGGATGGCACAGAATCCTTAATTACCACTTCTTCGATCATTTGTACTTCTAATTTCGGATCTATTTCTTTTTCCTCCTCCATGGTTTTCTTCTTGCATTAACCCTGTGCTTTTCTTTGGCAGAGTCAGTGCTCTTAAAAAATATATATATATTGTGCACATGTAACATTGATTTTAAGTTTTACACTGAGATGACAAGGTTTATAATTTAAAATATCAACTCTTGTGTGGGTGATCAGGTATCCACTGTGTCTTTCCAGCGTTATTGTTTAAAATTTTGATTTTAAAAAAGGTGAACCAATATAGAAATATCCAAAGAGTGGTTTTGTAATATTTTCACAAGTTAAAAATTATTAAATGAAACAACTAACCGGTTGCCCACACAGGAGTTAATAAGAAGGTAAGCGAAAGAAGAATTTACCTGAAGTTACTTCACAATAATTAACGCGGAACGTATGTTAAATAGCGTTAAAAGAGAGTTCAGTTCCGTGGTGGCTTAAGGAAACCACAAATGACGCGTGACTGAAGGGAAGTGTCTAAGGACAATGAATGTATACGCTTGTATACCAATCAAAACATCGTTACTATGTTGGCTACTGTATCAGCTTATCACCGCGTGCGGTCGTATGAACAATAAAATACGAAAAAGAAAAAAGGAGGTCAGTAGCGATGACAGTGACAGTAACTACGACGATTTCAACTATTGTTTCCAGCTTGTTAGACGCTTATATTTAAAAACAAAACCACGAGCAATTGCAATAAGCAAATAAATCTGATGATTCGTTTCAATTAAGTCTCTGAATGGTGATAGAGACAGATAAATTCTTTTCTTTAGAGAATAGTATTGTGCAATAGATCTGAAACAAGTCTGATTGCAACTTTGATTGGCTAACTGAATCTGATAACTGATAAGAAATTAATCATTTATATGTATTATCTGCTCGGTTGCTTTTGAATTCAAAATATATATATATAGAAAGAGTCACTTAAGGTTGGAATGTCTATTGTTTTGAAGAGATAAATATTGTAATAGAAGAATTTTTTCACTGCAGAAGAATTAGCATAATAGGGTTAAAAGTCATCCTCCTTCATAGCTTCCCTTAGGAATCTTAGGCTCTTCTAGGGCAAATGGCGAGACGCTCCTCTTTTTCTCTTTACCCTTCACCAACATTGTACCCACGTGTAAATTCGTCGAGGGCACAGAGAACCTATCGTGTGTGGTGCACAACGACCTATTGTTGACTCATTAATTGAACAGCGACACGTGTTTTTTACAATTAAAGAAAAGCATCGTGACACGCGCGTGTATTTTGATCCCTGATAGTATTATGGACATTGGCGTAACTGTGGTCCTTCGAGCGAACCAATGATCTGGAACAAAAAAGAACGTTTTGTACAGGTGAAAGTCGAGAGGATAAAGGGGTCAATTCGCTATAAACGTCGAAGACGAGGATACTCACGATTAAGTTTCATTCGAAAAAAAAGACAAGTGTACAGGTCCTCGTTGATTGAGCACAAGATACACGCATTATTGATTACTTAGGCAAATCATCAGTACTAATTACTTTTATAAACAAAGTTCAGTAGTTACATTTCCAATGAACAAATTGGCGATAACGAAAGTGTGTATCTTGTGATTATAGCTACGGCTTGGTTACGCAAAAGTAGATATTAAAAGACTGCTAGAAATGTGTAAAGGTATTGCCTCTGATAGCGAATAATTCCTTTCATTGATTTTCATTTGATCACTTCACTCTCTTGAAATATGTCATCATTTCAAGTATCCTAAGTTTTTTAAATGTCACAGAAATAAATTCCCTTTCCAACTGGAAAACCGCATGAGGTGATAAGTAAAATCTGACTTATCGCTTATTCCTTGAACATGTACATAGTGAAAACTGGTCCGGAAACCGTGCGATATATTCAATAATGTTGGTGGAGAAAATAGGTTATGCAGCGATCATATATTGGGGATACAAATTTTCTCGTAACACGTTGTACAAAGTGTACAATAACTTTTTCTCCACTTCATGCGTCGACTTATACTCGATGGGTAAATGGGCAGTGGTCACAGGATGTTCCCATGGGATAGGAAGAGCGTATGTCGAGGCTCTAGCAAGAATAGGGTTAAACATAATTCTTGTCAGCCCTGACACGGAGAATTTAAAGGCGATCGCTAGCAATATCGAGGCGATGTACAACGTGAAAACGAAAGTGATCAAGTTGGATCTATCGGAAGGTCTGGAAACGTACAACGCTATTGAGAAAGAGATGTACGGTTTGGAGATCGGCGTATTGGTCAACAACCTTGGTATGTCGTATCCGCATCCGGAATATTTTCTCAATCTTCCTCACAAAGAGAAGATCTACATGAGCATCATACATTGCAACGTGGTCGTCGTCACGAACATGTGTCGCATCTTGCTGCCTCAAATGGTGGTCAGAGGGAAAGGAGTGATCGTAAACGTTGCCTCGATGGTCGCTGTACTGCCGAGTCCTCTTCTCACTGTATTTGCAGCCACGAAGGCGTACATCGTGAAATTCAGTAAAGATTTACAGATCGAATATGCTAAACATGGTATAATTGTACAGTGTTTGTTACCTGGTACCGTAACTAATCATAAGACAGACTCGCCAAGATCAGGGTGGATGGTACCAACGCCTGAGAAATATGTACAAAGCGCTATTAAAACGATAGGCAAGGAGAATGTGACAACAGGTTTCTTGCAACACTCCATTCTAGTCAGGATAATTAAATTGATTTATCGAGTATCACCTAACTCTATCATCGTTTGGATGATCAACATCATGGAAGGGAATCGGAATATCGCCTTGCGGCGTTACATCGGATGATTTTGTACAAATATTTAAATATACAAGCCTTAATGTAAAGACAAATTTGTATACTTTTTGCTTCATAAATCATCAGAATGATAAGGAAATTAACACATACTTCTTCATACTTGGCGCATCGTCTTCCAAAGTAGTTTTTATTATTTTTTTAATAAATGGCGCTAAAGGTTTAACTGTGCCATCTGCTCTGTCCTACTAGACTGCACTAGTCTAGCACGCGTTAACGGTAACTGTAGATTGCTTCGATATTAATGACTATAATTTTTCTTCGAAGTTTTAATTATTAAAAACATGATATTAAAGAAGCTCATTCTTTTATGCGGTTCTATTACATTTCCGATATCGAAAGCGAAGGGCGTCAGGAGTGGGGGCTCCAGACGCCCTTGTACGCGGCCCGAGGAAGAGTCGGCACCGGGTGCGACCCCCGGTGTCGGCCACATGCTAGGCATCCGGGATGGGCACCTGTGTGCCATGCGTGAAGAGCTCCGAAGTAATATACATAAGGTCTCGAAAACCTCCTTTAACGCCTGTGTCGGTCGCCGTGGGGTTTTAGTCAGTAAGAATCTGACACTCCCCCACCGCCCTCCCCCAGGGGACGGTGGGGAGTCTTATGCAAGATTTCCCCACGTTAAAAACAAAAAAAAAAAATAATCTCACATCCCCGCATTCCTTACATCCCAACATCCCTTACATTCCAGCATTCCGCACATCCCTCCAGCCCTTATATTCCTCCATCCTTTACGTCTCTGCATACCTTACATCTATGCATCAATTATATTGCTAGCGGAAAAGTTTGAACTAAATTTTCCCAAAAATAGCGCCATCTAGCGGTAAGAAAAGGAACTAAAGAACGAATAAATTTTGCGCCCTCTGGGGGAGAAAGTTCGAACTAAATTTTTCCGAAAAAACAACGTCCCCTGGTGGTAGAAAAGGAACTAAAGAACGAATAAATTTTGCGCCCCCTGGGGGAGAAAGTTCGAACTAAAATTTTTCCGAAAAAACAACGTCCCCTGGTGGTAGAAAAGGGAACTAAAGCTGTATAAAGTCGCCGGCCCCCTAGCGGCAAAAATCTGAACTAAAATCGTCACGTCGAAACAGCGCCCTCTGGCGGTAGAAAAAGGAACTAAAGCAGTGCAAAATCGCCGGTCCCCTAGCGGCAAAAATCTGAACTAAAATCTTCACGTCGAAACAGCGCCCTCTGGCGGTAGAAAAAGGAACTAAATTTGTACAAAATCGCAACCCCGAAAGAAATTAAATAAAATAAATAACTCGGAAATGAAGTTGGGTAAATTAAATAATAACTCAGTTGCTTTTTTAAGATGATTTATTTACTAAGCATGAGGTGAATACAAGTTTGTCTTACAATTATTTTAATAATGTTTTGGTCTTGTACTTATTTTAGTTAATTTATAAAAAATAGAGTCAGAGGGAGTCAATATTGTATGTTTGCAGTAGTCTGTGAGGGGTGCGGTAAACGAAGGACTGGTAAAACAGACAGGATTGGCATACCGACTGTGTTCTGTAGATATAGCTCTAATTGTGCATTGGGGTGCCTGGGACCCCAAAATTCTAGATCGGTATATCATTCAGCAGTTTCCGCCATTTTTAAATAGATGGCTCTGGTGTAGAATTTTGAAATTATGGCGGTCCTTTTAAAATACGAGATTGTCAATTTATGCTAATTTGGACTGATTTCGAAAAAAATGGAATCAAAGGGTGTTAAAATGGTTTTTCAGTTGCGAATGCAAGATATGGTAAAGGAGGGATTGATATAAGCGGCACGACTGTCATACCAGCTATTACACATGCAGAACTAACAATAACACAGCCGACTCTAGTACTAGCCGTGCTGAAGTAAAAATGGCAACACCGCGGGAGTCCGGTCTGAATATATCAACACCTACCCTACTCTATCTGCCTCCCGGACTCCCAGACTCTCAGCCAATCAACGTCGTCAGACTCCCGACTACTCTCTGGACTTCACATAACCTCTTTGGTTTCGTTCCAATAATTATGCTTGTTTCAAGGTTTTTATTAACTTTTATACACGTTTATCAATTCTTAAATGTTTCAATTTGATCCAAAGATGGTTTCATTTTGCTTCATACCTAAATTTTCTTGAAACCACTGTAAATATTTCAAATATCATGCTTCACAACACCAAACTACTTTGAGAGTACACAAAATATATATCACATTTATAACAATTTTATACTACCACATCACTTCTATTTGCCATAGTTGCAACGTTTATATATTGTTTATACATAATTAACACAAAATAGTGTATATTACTACAGCTTTCAATTAAAAAAGACGTTAATTACAATTCCGAGCACAGGACTCTGTTTTTGAAAATAGGACTCCCGATTGTCACGTGAGCGGTGTTGCCACGTTGTTCAGCATGGCTAGTACTAGAGTCGGCTGTGACAATAATCTCACCTGGGGGTGTTTAGGATCCCCTGAATCATGACTCTCGAAAACAAAGGCATGTTCAGTTTATAGATCTGTAGTCACCGTGCTATTGAAATTTACTGCAGATTTGCTCTTGGAAAGCAAAGTATCACATCTTGGTTGTGAAGAATTCAGTCCTATTCCAAATTCCTGTTGTATACGCGTTGTTGAAACCTGAAAAAGGAAACGAAATTGAAACGGCATGTCCGAGGTTATTAACCAACATGAAATTAATCAGAGCTACTGGTTCAAATGGAATGATTATCAAAATCATTTATCCGATGTAGTTAGACAACTTTTGGATGAGGATTGCATGGTGGATGTTACATTAGCAGCTGCAGGAGAACGAATTCATGCTCATCGAATAGTCCTCTGTGCTTGCAGCACTTTATTTCGAGTAAACAATTGTATTTTTCGATGTATGCTTACAAATATTGAATGAAAAATGTTAATTCATGTTTTCAAATGTTCATGAATAACTTAATAATGTAGTAGTTAATATTTTTACTCATTTATTCATACTCTTCAAGAGTTGTAGTTGTCCTGTACTTAAAAATATTATTTGTTGTGTGATCCACCTTTTTCTACAATAGATAACTTTCTACTTATAACAGAATATGTATGCTGTAGTTTATAGAAAAGCTAAACATATATATATCATACTATATACAATTTACTTAATAATTGATCCTTTATTTGTAGGAGATATTAAGTCAAGTAAATGAAGATCATCCAACAATAATATTGAGCGACATATCTGCTCAAGACATCAAATCTATTGTAGAATTTACTTATCATGGCGAAGTAAGGGTCCCAGTTGAGAATATCAGTAGTTTGTTAGATGCTGCACGTTCTTTAAAAATATGTGGCCTTATTGAGGTTGGTTTCATTGATTATGAAAAGAAATTAGATGAAAATATCATTCTTTTCTACATTGTTATGTTTATAGATTGATGGACTTGACGAAGGTGATTTAGTAACAAACACAAAAGATTTCAATGATAATAGCGAAGAATCAACAACTATAATCAACGAGGAGACAGAAGAAAATGTTATCAATGCGTTGCAACATAGTTACGAAGAATTGGAGGATCAACAAAAGGAACAGATTACTGAGAATATCACTTTGCATAAAAAGAAGAAACGCAGACGCGATGCGACGAAAAGAGATTATAGCGATGATATGTTAGAATCTGCGATCAATGATTTAAAATCAGGTCAAACATTGATAGAAGCTTCTACTAAGCACAATATACCCCGTTCAACGTTATACATGCGTGCCAAAGCATTAGGTATACATTTAAATGCATCAAGAAATGAATATCCAGCTGAATGTATGAAAGCTGCTATAAATGCAGTAATTGGTTGGTATTTTAATTCTTAAATAAGGAAGTAGGTGTAAGTGTTGTGGATGCCTCTGGTGGCGGGTGCGTGGAGTATCGTTATATTCAACTTATTTTATCTATATCCTAGGTGGATCAAGTTTACAGCATGCATCAGAAATGTTTAGTATCCCAAAAACTGTATTGTGGAGAAGGATTCAGAAAGAAGGCTATCAAATATTACGTTCTGAAATGAAAAGGTCTTATGGTTCTGACAAACGAGAAGCGGCAGTGAAAGCATTAGAAAGGGGGGAGAATCTAACAAAAGTCGCGCTTGAATTCAAAGTAATATGGTTTAATAAATTCTTAATCTATAATAGAAGTAATAAACAATTTTGCCATTATTCGAACGTTTTAAAGGTAATATTAGAAATTATGATTTTAGATTCCAAAGACTACTCTATTCAGAGATAAAGCTCGATTGGTGGACGAGGGGAAATTACCACTATCGTTTTGGAAAAAACGTAAAACAGAGAATGAGGAATTAAAAAAGTCTCGTTTGGAAGAAGCTGTCGCCGCGTGTAAGGGAGGGAAAATGTCACAAGCTGCGGCATCCATGACTTATCATATTCCTAAAACAACTATATGGAGGCGTCTTCAACAAGATGGTAAAAAATCGGAACGATTATTAAATTCAAGAAAGCAAAGAGTAATAGATCCTAAACATAATTCAGAAACTAAAGTGCAGGAAGGTTCTGATTTTACATATTGTGAGGTATTAAGAGCTTTAAACATTTTTACCATTTATCATATGGATTTGTATAATTGAATATTGTTATTATTAATAAATTCTAATTATAGGTTTCATCAGAGATTCCTATAACTTACATAGATGAAAATAGTATACCTGAGGATTCTGTGATAATATTAACAGCAGAAGATATGGACGAACTTAATTTAGAAGAAGGACGACAAATTATTGTTAATTCCGTACGTTCCTTTTATCTATTTAATTTAATAATCATTATTTAAATTGATGCAATTTTTTTCAGGAATCAGTACAAGAATATGTTCCTTGTGCTACAAGTATTGAAGAAAATTCAAATTATTCGCAGACTGAGAGTTAGCATATAAATTCTGATCATTCATCTAAAACATAATATTCTCTTTTGTATAGTAACGTGTATGCTAATTTAGAATTATAATAATATATATACACACGATAAGATATAAAAACTAATTTCGTAATATTTGTATATTGCA